GTTCAGGAAACCTTTGTAGATAGGGGGTAAAGGGAGGAAGCGAGGTCCTATAAAAAGAATACACTGAAATTCCCGTTGCTCTGGTCTTTCCGTCTTTTGATGCTGGCATGGAGCTGTTGCTATCTCCTGTTAACTAGTTTCATTTGCTATTTAATGCATAAGGCAAGACAAGTCCCTGCGTTTGTCACAAATTGTATATGCTCCTTTAAGACGTATTTGAAGTTTTTAGCTGCTAATTTGGGGGCATTTTTACATGGAAACAATCAGGGAAGCAACATCTATATTTGAATGTAGTGTAATCTATCAGACTGTGTCCTGTATCCTATTTAATCTTGTCTTAAGGCCTTGCTATCTGAGATTGGAGGTTTGGCACCGTGTTCTTGTGGTTATTTTATCTGCTTATTTTGTGAGGGGAGTTACTGCTTTACTCTGGAGGAGTGAGGTGTTTTGGTTTGTAGGCAGTGAGAAAACTACATCTTTTGGCTTTCGTCCTAGTAAATATTTAAGTTTCCTCTGGCTACTCTGATATCTTCTTCTCAGGCTGTTCCCATACTGGCTTTTTCTTTTCTCTTCCAAATGGATTTTCTGATTGTTCTGAAAGTAGATGCCCTTCAAAATACAAAACTCGGCGAGCTAAAAAGCAGTCTCAGTCTCCTTGCAGCTTTATGCCAGGTGGATCCAGAGGACGCTGACAGTGCCCACGTGTTGCTAGTTAGGCCTGTGTTGTCCCTTGCAGCGAGACAGTGATGATGATGACCGGAGCAGTGACCGGGAGGACGGACCTCTGGAGGAGCAGATAGAGCGCTTGCAGGAGAAGGTTGAGTCAGCACAGAGCGAGCAGAAGAATCTCTTCCTTGTTATATTCCAGGTAATGCTGGGTGAGCTCTCCTCTCTTCAGGCTTTAAAGGTCACTGAATTTACAAGCTTTCACGTCGCTTGTATCTCGGGCATGAGGATATAGGAAAGAGCTGGGGGACTTGCTGTGGCTTTAGAGTTGATCCTGAGTTGATCCTTCGCCCCACAGCAGGCTGCGGCTGAGCAGACAGGACCTCTGTAGTTTCATGCACACAGGAGCAAAATTCTTTGGCTGTGTGGATTCCTGAATGAAAAAATAACTTGGTTTTTTATTTTTCTTTTTGGCTGGCAAAATCCAGCGTCTGTAAAGTGAAACAGTTATTTTCATGTTGTTATTTAAAGTTTCTGTTCTCTAGATGCACTTACGCGAGGTTAGGAGCTGCCTGGTTTGATGACATTGAGTGAATGCGTTTTTTTTCTTCCCTCTTGAAGCGCTTCATTATGTTGTTAACTGAGCACTTAGTGCGCTGCGAGACCGGCGGAATTGATGTATTTACGCCGTGGTACAAGAGCTGCATAGAAAGGCTGCAGCAGATCTTCCTGCAGGTGAGTGCCCTCCCTCTGCTCGGCCCGGAGCTGTGGGCAGGAGCTGGTGTGCTGGTGGCTGCTGAGCACAGCAGTTGTAGTCTCTGTTAAACCAGGTAACTGGGTGACAGTGACAGCAATAGAAAACTGTACCTGCGTGAGCAGAAGGTGCGTGGAAAAGTGGGTGAGTGCAAGGAGCGGTGCTGTAATCCTCCCGCGGGCTGCAGCTTGGTCTGGTCACAGATGTGGCTGCAGATTGAAGCGCTGCCGTGGGTCCGTTATGGTACCTCTGAGCCTTCAGCTCAGTGTCTGGGGCTGAAAAGCCCCCCGAAGTGCAGCGCTTCCTGGCACCGTGTAGCAGCGTGTGCTTTTCCTTTGCCACCAACCCTGCGTCGTGCTTTTCTAGTCAGAGGTGTGCGTGGAAATGGGATGTGCATGGCATCTTCGACGACAGCTTTTCACCAACATAGGTGTCTTTTATCTGCCAGCATCACCAGATAATCCAGCAGTACATGGTGACCTTCGAGAACCTCCTGTTTACAGCTGAGCTGGATCATCACATACTGGCCGTCTTTCAGCAGTTCTGTGCTCTGCAGGCCTGAGGAGAATTCCTGGGTGAAGTCTTGTTTTCAGGACTGTAACAATTATTTTTTTTTTTTAAACTTGACATGGGGATGAAAAAACTTTTTGATTAAAACTGGCTTTCATATGCTCCTACATAAAACAATTCAGTTCTCTAACCAACAGCAGTCTGTAAGCATCCTAAGCCTTACTAGATAGAACTCTTAGGGGATTGACATGAAGTAGTGTGAATTCTTCTAATCTGTTCTTATTTTGGTTTGACTCTTGATTTCATGGTAGTATTTTTCTTTCTCCCTTGTTTATATAAAAATGAAAACCGGGGAAAAATCAATATAGGATTTGTTACCTCTGCCTGGCCCTTAAATCAGAGAAATTGCAGAAATGTGAAGCAGTTTGTAGTGTTTTCTAAGTGTGAAAGGGAATGCACTTTCTAAGTGAGCAGTGTGATAAAGTCTCTAGTCTGGCATAGGAAAAGTGTCTTAATTTGGGGCATGTGAAACAATGCGTTAAGCTTTTAAAGTAGTATAGAGCATACGGATTGAGTATGTTTTTAAAATGTATTGTCTGGTGTCTTATTCCAGTAGCTATAAGCAATCAGTAGAGGAATTTGATGGATAAGCTCTGAAAAATGCAATCCTTTCTACAGTCTGGTCAAAATTACGACCTCTTCTTGCCAGTCGCTTCCACAGATAAATAGGAGCAGCGAGCAACACCTGGAGTGGGACAGATTTTGTGCTTTGGTAACTGCAACGCTGACTGTGTGTTAGGGCTGCCACGCCACCGAACCAGACCTGCAGGCCTGCAGTGCTGCCAGAAATGCTTCTGTTACCCATGGTGGATCAACCAGGTGCCACTGCTTGTCCGGCTTAGCAACAACTGCCCTGTGGTGGCCGTATCTGCTACGGCAGCACGCAGCTCCTGTGTCACCTGAAAGCATTTTGATGCTCACTGAAGAGGTTTCTCGCCAGGAGACACAGACTGGGGAAACACGTAACCTGAAAATAGAGTAGCCTTAGTTTTGAGTTATGCAAATAACATTACTTATAGAAATGCCAAATCAGAGTGGTCTGTGTTATGACAAGCAGTGATGAGTGGCAAAGACACTGCCTTAGGTGCTCAGGTCTGTACTGTACAGTATACTTCCAAGCTGTTTATGTTCTCTTTACTTTGTGGGTGAATGTTTAGAGAATTTCATACCCAGTGCTACAGCTCAAGCTTGAAACTGATGAATTTTAAGTAATTTTGTTCCTGTACAAATTTTTTTTTTCCAGTGTTATGCTCCATAATGCAGTTCATCCCAACATTAATAAATTGACCTCCTAATAAAATGAGGAGAGCAAAGAGGAAATTTTTTGAGTGTCGACGTAAGCTTGTACGTGGCTTCTTGCAGTTGGATGTGTCCTCATAGACTTCAGTTTGTTACTTCTGCTTTCACTGCTTACCCCCTCTGGTTTGACTGAGCCCTCTCTTCTTTAAGGTTTACTGTTATGTGTTATAAATTTGCTTTATGCAGAGAGTTTTGTCAGTCATGCACAGTTCTGCTTCAAATCTTTCTGTTGATGTTCTTGAGCAATTAAATAGTGTTTTTTTTTAAAAGAAACATTTAGCATTGTAGAAGTTTTAATTGGGGTTTGGCTTTTTTCTTCCACTGTCTCAGATGAGTAAGGAGTTCTGGTGTTAACTAATGATGGGGATCTAAAGGACTGTAAATGTGATTTCTGTAGAAGTGACAATGTGGTTACAACGTGCAAACCTGTAACTTGCTCTGAGCCTCGACAACAGTGGTGCTGGGGATCCAGTTGCAAATACTTGCACGTGGACAGCATAATCCTATGGCTTAAAACCAAATTTGCACTTTCACTATGAATGGAGTTCCCGTGATGGGTTTTGACATCTCAGTAGTCTGTTGGAAGCTTCCCCTCTTTCCAAGTCCAGCAGCACTCATCTGTCTTGACTTGGGAAACCGGTTGGTCCATAGGAAGAATGAGATGCTTGTACCAGCAGCTAGCCAGCTTGAGAAACCCGGAGCCACGGAAGCGTGGGGTGGTGAATAGTGTAAAGGTGCTGTAGAAATGTGGTGTGGTTGGAAAAAAATGCACAATTATTAAAGTCAAAAATAAATGAAGGCGAAGCAGGTTACTGCTGTGTTTGTCCTACCTTTGGGGGGGAGCTGCTGAAGCAGAGCAGAGCTGCACGGGTGCGAGAAGCAGACGGTCATGGAGCGCTTCTATTTCCCCTGTGCCGCTGCTGGGACGCTGACAGGCACCTTCCATCTGTGTGCTGCGGGCATCTAACAAACCTACCCTGCGTGCACAGCCAAGTGATGCACGTGTGGGTGCTGCCTGGTGCCAGGAGCGTGCTCACACAGGTTTTCCCTCTCCTTTGCCCCCACACACGTGCTGCTATGGGGCAGGGGGGGCCCCTGGTGTTTGCTGCAGGCTGACTGTCACAGCCTGCAGGGAGGCAGGTTGTTCAGTCATTGCACAGCACCTTTCCTGCCCCAAAGCTGCAGGTGAGGCCTGGGACCCACAGCACACGTAGCTTGATGGGCCTGCCATGTTGAAAGCCTGGAGCCTTCTTCCAAAAGCCTTGCCAGGTCACCTGCCTTCCAGATAACTAACCAACTCTACACACGTTTCCTTTCCCACCGAGGACCCTCTGCCCTCGGTGGTCTGCAGACCATGGGAGAGCTGCTGAGAAGTGAAGGTCTGTCAGCAGAACCACCAGCCTTCCTCCCTGCCCTGTTTCACTGCTGCACAGCCACGGGGGTCCTGGCTCCCCTAATGCCTCACTGGATTTCACGGTGAATAAATACAGAACAGCTGGTAGAAGGCTCCCTCACGGTGGCCATTTCCACATGCGTTCCCTGGTCACTGTGTAAGAGCAGCGAGGAGCTGAAAAACTGAGGAATTTGAACTTGGACCAAAGTCCACCTCTCATGCAAACAAACAACACTCGGCTCAGTTTAGACAGATCTACCCTGGAATGCTTCTCCCCACCAATAGGTTTTTACCAGAAACCACTCACACACACCAGGATGGTAAAGGAAGATACGCTTTTACTGTAAGAGTCATCTTTTTGGTCCAAAACTTGAGAAGAAATCAGTGAAGGATACTTAAGCCTTTATAGTATAGAACATGGCAGCAACCTGACTGTGTCAGCACGGTGCTTTGCTTTAACAATCCCAAAACAGGACACCTCCCTCCATCAAGCTGGAGGTCTCCATCTCCACCCGCAGGGAGAGCCAGCCTGGCAGCACGCTCTGCAACCACCTGGGCAGCGCTTAGGAACTGGCTGCCTGAGACATATGGGAGCTGACATCAGCTAACAGCTGGTGCAAATACAGAGACTTCCTTCAGCTCTGACTGAAGGAAGAGTAGAGGGAAATCTACCTTGTTTAAATTTCATCAGCATGTAAAACGAGGGTAAAACGCCAACTTCTCGTCCCACAAGGCAGCCATTTCCAGCCTGTTAAAAATGGGCATGCTCTCCCCTAAGATGTAGCTGGGAAGCCTAACCTTCTTCTGTACAGAACTGACTGTATTATTCATGGAGCTTGCTAACAGCTTGTTCCCAACTGCCATTTCTTTAATAAAGAATATGATTAAAAATGATGGTAATGAATTTCAACAAACAAATTAGCATTACATCTTTTCGTAAGTTAACTCGTGGCCGCACACCGTACACGTCTTCCTGTACGTTTCTTCATCAACGCTTTCTTCTGGTCCGTATTCATGTTCATGGATACTGGCTGTCTTCTTCCACAAACTACTCCTCACTGCACGGCGAAGCTCTGGCGAGAAATGTTAAGGTTTTCTGAGGGTTCTGAAACTCAACTCAAGCCACCCACCTTCCCGAGGCCTGCACTTTGGCAGTCTGCTCGCTGACTGTCTTCCATGAATGTGAAGGCAAATCTGGTATTGCAGGAACAAGTTTTGATTTGCCTTGCAGCCAACGTAACCTCACCTCGTTTACATGATTTGAAAGGTACCATGAGAATAGCTCACAGGAGCTTTCTATCTGGAGGGAGCACGTGTTGCCCACTGCCTTTTTAAGCGCTGCCCTTCAATGACATCTAGAAAGCTTAGATGGAACCTTCCATAAAAAAGCCTTTTGTAAAGCCACCTCCTGTTCTTTTACAGGACTGGGAAGAGCTTTCCATTCTGCTCAGTGTGTTCTCTGAGCTTCATGCCCTGCAGTGTGAGTTGGGTGTGCAGTTGTGGCAGCGAAGTTGCAAGTGAACCGGGCGCAGACCTGCATGCTGAAAGTGGGTAGCAGGAATATTAAGCAGCAAAGGGTGGTAACGTTTTCAACCAAGTCAGTCAGGGTGCAAGCACTCTCAAGTCAAGGCCTGTCCTTGCCCTGCACTCCACCATCGTGGCTGCAGTCTGCTGCAATTCCCATGCTTGCTCAATCCTATGTTCTGCCTCCTCCGGGCTCAGTGAATGAGAACCTGAAGCTGAGCAGGCATGATGTGGGCAATGCAGACTCTGGCTAAGAAACAAACGTGCAGTTGTAAAAACAGCCAGCATGTCGGAGCTGAAAGCATTGGTCAGAATTACTCCAGCTGAAAACTCTTCTAACTGTTAACTTGGAATAGTAAGGATGATAACCACTAAAAAAACACAGGCTGGGAATGCCTAAGGCACACCGTGCACGATACCAAAGAATTGAAAAAGCTCTGTAACACGCTGTTTGTTGAAGTTCATCTCTGGTCAGCTCTGAGGGCAGACCAGACTGCTCCCAGCTCACTGCCATGGGCCACGATGGACCTCCATTTTGTCATACTGAAAACTGAGCATTTTGGGCAGATGGAGGAACGAACTGACAGAACTGCTTCACGTACCGCATTGTCCAGGTTTACCCATTTACCTTTCACTTTCTTATCAAACTTCTTCTGTTTCATCTTCTCTCTGCTGTCACGGCGCTGCTCCTTTGCTTCTTGCAAGGATTCCTCATTCCCCCACACTTCCAGAGCACGCTTGATTACCTACAGGATGGACACAGATGTGTTTCTTTTTGCCCTGAAATGACAGGAGCATCTGACTCGCGAGCAAACTTTACGCACACCGCCAGTCTCACCATGAATCCTGCCTCTGCCTTGGAAATACTGACTCACAAATCTGCACTTTCCACGGTGCAAGGTGGGCAAGCTCACCCCAATTGAAGCCCAGCTGCAATTCCGTGCGTATTCAAGCAGAGCTGCAGCGTCCTCAGCAAAGCAGCAGACGAGAAGCTGCCGCTCCTGCCACGGGCCATGCAGGACCGTGCTGCACACCGTGCTCTGCACCTCTGCTTGTGCAACACGGGCAGGCACACCTGCGTGCTGGATGCCTCGACAACACTCTCACACGTGGATGTCTGCGTGGGTTTGGACCACACCTCTCTACTTCAACCACAGAGAGAATTTACACAGCTGGACTGAACGTTCCCACCCTTAGCAAACGGTTCAGAAACCCAAACTTAAGTTACAGCTTTGGGTTATTGGCAAAGTCAGGCAGAGGTAAGAAGAGCTGGAAACGTCCCAGGTTTCTCTGTACCTGCAGTTTTAAGTAAAGTTTCATGTCACCCCACCGAGGATTATGAGGGTTTTTCTTCACAATGAATCTAAGCACCGGTTCCCTCTTATCTAAGTCACAGTCTTTCAGAAGATACTCTTCTTTTGCTTCTGTCCTTGTGATGAGCTTATGTTTATCTTCAGCATCTCTGGAAGATATAAAGTAACAATGAGAAAGCTGCCCAGGAAAACCAAGCACTATTTAGTCTCCCAAGTTCCCATCAAGACTGCATGCATTCCTGAAATTCCAGCAGAGCAACAGCCCCCATCCATCCCCTCCGTTTTTATGCATGCAGCTCACGGGGAGTTCCAAGGACCCAGCTGAACTGCAGGACAGGTTTCCCGGGACCGAGTCCCATTTCAGCCAACAGACTCAGCATCTTTTGTCTGAAACCTGAAGGGCTTTCCTCTGTGATTTTTGTTTTCTCACAAGGAACGTAACCCCCGCGCCACGAAATCACAAATTGTTTCGGGCACTTCTCCCAAGCCGGGAGCCATTCAGGGGACAAAAGCACGAGCCCAACACATGGCCGGGAGCTAAGGAGTGTGAGCCAGGCCGACAGGCCGAGTCACAGCCCCGGATCGCGAAGGTGAGCAACGCAGACAGCTTCCCACTGCCAGACAGAGAGCGGCAAGAAAACCAAAACCTGGAAATATTAAAACGTACAGCTTGCAGATGAAAAGCTGTCTGCCCACGGCTGCATTCGTCAATTAAAGGCAAAATAAATAAATAAGTAAAAACAGAACAAAATTCACATTATCCCGTATCCTGAGTTCAGCTGGGATCGCTCGGTACGGAGCAGCTCCGCCGGGCAGGAAGCACCGAAGCCGGCAGCAACGCGGAGCCGCGTGCGCGCCCGCAGCGCCGCGGAACGGAAGGCAGCGCGAGCCCTCCGCCCATCGCAGCTCCCGGACGGCACGGCCCACCGACCGCTTCCCCGCTCCCACGGCTGCACGTGGCTACCTGCCCGCGGAGCTCCCGCAGCCATCTTTTATTCTCCACCCATTCATTGCTGAAACGGTGGTTGGCTGCGTCTCCCCACCCCAGCCATCTCCGCGGCGCTTCCAGCACTTTCTCCGCGCTAAGGGGACGCGATGGGGCTCACCGACCCGTCCCCTACCGCGCCATCCCCACCCCCACCGGCCTCGGGCTCCGCTCCCGGCCTGCCCCGCTCTGCCCTCCCTCCCCCTCCCCGGGCAACGCTCCTTCCCTTCCCCTCCCCATCCCCCGCACCCCACCTTCACGCCGCCATGCGGCACGCACCCCTCCCCCCGCACAGCCGGCGTTACTCAGCGCGCTGCCCGGCTCCCCGCACCCCGCAGTGCCGCACCCGCGGGGCAGCACCGTCACCTCCCCGCTTTCGCAACGCGGGACACAAAGGTCGGCGCTGCACCTCCCGTCTGATGAGTTTTTACGGTTAACTCCGTGCTTCGGACGGAAGGCTACGGTAAAGAAATGAAGGCTCGCCCACTGTCTGCAATACCTGCAATTATCACACGTGGCCCAATCAAAGTGCTGCATTAGGTACGAGTCCATGAATTCTTTGCCACAGTCTCCACAGATGAGATAGTCAAATTCTAGCACGGGCGCTAACAGAAAGAAAGATCTCGTTTTTTTCCTTTTCTTGCCAAGAACTACCGCGTTAAACAGAACGCAAGCGAGTGGTACTGCAAGCAGCTTTACTAACATTTAATAGTATTTCACACGAGTCGTTACACACCGATTCCAGTTCTCTGTAATAAACGGTTTTCCACGAAGATACAATACAGATGCAAAGCCATCGCCATGCGCCCACACCCCGCCCCGGCGCATTTCTACACTTGCTGGAAGTTTCCCTGCACCAAGCGTCAGGTTTCAGCATTCAACAGCACACGCCTCGGTTTCCGTTTAACAATGGCTAAGAAACGAAGCAGGACCCCCCAACCCCCCCCCCCCACCACCACGGTTCCCTCGCGGCGCCTCACGCCCGCTCCCACCGCTCCCTCCCCGCGGCCCACATCGCGACCACGCGGCACGGGGCTGCAGGGAGGGCCCGGGGAAGGGGACGGGTGGGAGGAAGGCGGCGGGGGGCGGCGGGGCAGCAGAGCCGGCACTGAAACGGCCTCAGCTCGGCCGCCCGGCGCCCACCCGACACGCCTGCATCTCCCGAGGGCTCGACGGACGCCCGGGACGGCGGGCACGGATCCGTGTTCGGCCGGCAGCAGCGGGGGTGGATGGCCAGAGAGCTGCTAGGAGTGGAATGGGGATGGAGCTCCACTACAATCCTCTCCCCAAGCCCTCTCAGCACTGCTCCAAGCCCAGGCTCGTTCTGCGCCGGCCGGGTGCTGTCCTCGCCGGGTGCTCAGCGCCGTCCGCTCGTGCTCCGCGTGACACCGACGGGGAACTGCTGGCTACGGGGGAGGTTCGTTTAAAAAGGAAATAAAACCATCCTAGCGGAAAAAAAAAAAAAAAAGAAAAAAAAAAAAAATACAACGCCTTACACGGTTCTCATTCCTAGGCAGCGCTGCAACAGGGTAAGAATATTAATAAAACCTGAAAAAAGAAGGTTAATTCGCGGCGTGCGGTAACGTTCGTCTTTAATAGCGGCCGCGCCGGGAGCGGATCGCGCCCAGCCGACATCCGACCCGGCTCAGCCCGTCCGCATGGCGTGCCCTTACATCACGTTTCGTAATGCACGGCAGCGCTGCCCGGCAGAAAGGCGCTTTATTAGGACAATGACATCATGAATTACACAGCACGAACCGCCCGCTGCAAAGGCATCCCGCGTCCCCACGCCTTTTCTTGGAAAGAAAAAAAAAAGAAAGAAAAGAAAAGAAAGAAAGAAAGAAAGACAAAAAATGAAGTAAGATTTAGAAAAAGGAAAAGAGGAAAAAAAAAACCATCCCGACAGCACGGGGCTGCGCCTTGCCGTACTGAATCCGGCTAACAAAGAGGGACACTGCACCACGACGCTGCGGCTGATCCAGCGCAGAACAAAGCGAGACAAAGGCATTCCCAGAAAAGAAACTGCATCTATTTCGGGATCGCGACGCCTCCATTTGCTGCCGAGGAAAGAATATCGCGACGCAGTATGTCGGCATGCGCCCGCCGCCGCACGCGGGTGGCTCTGCCGGACACGCGGGGCGGATTCGCCGCCGCCATCCCAAAACCAGAATCGCGAAACGAAAGGCAGAAGCGGCTCTTACCGGCAGGGCAGCGCCGTGCCCCACTTTCCCGTTCCGCAGTGCCGGCGGGCGCGGCGCAGCGGTGTGCACGGCGCGGCGCGCCGGGAAGAATGGGGGAGAGGGAGAGCAGGGAGGGAACTAAAAAACCCGGGAAGGGGAAAAAAAAACCGCGGAACCGCCCTGCCCGCGTCCCCCCGCCCCCGCCCCGCGCCGTTACCGGGGGGATGCACGATCCTCTCGGCGGCGCCGCGCTGCTCCTCCTCCTCCTCCTCCTCCTCCAGGAAGAAGCCCCCTCCCGTGTCCACGACCTTGGGGGGGCCCCGCGCCCGCACGCCGCCTGCGGAAGACAAACCGCGCGCCGCGCCGCCTCAGCGCCCGCCGCCGCCGCCGCCAGGGGGCGCCCGAGCGCATCTTGATCTCCACACACCGCCCCCCCCGCGGCGCGGGGAGGCGCGGAGCGCGCGCGCGCGCGCGAAGGCCCCCTCCCCCCACCCGTGGGGGGAGGGGGACCTCGCGCGCGCCCCCCCACGGCCGCTCTCTTTCCCCCCCTCCCGCCACCCCCCCCACCCCCCCCCCCCGTTTCCAACCGCCTTCCGTGCGCGCGCTCCCCCTCCCCCTCCCGCCGCCTCCGCCCGGCGCCCGGCGGCTCCGCGCCCCAACCCCCCCCTCCCCCCCCCACTATCCCCACACCGTCCCCCCAACCTCCCCTCCCCCCGAACCCCGCAGCCCCAAGAGAAGGGCTCGGGGAGCCGCCCGCCGCCATCCGACCTGCGGCGGGGTAAGGTCGGGCCGTCAGCCGCGCCTGCCGCAGCGCCAGCGCCCGCCGCCGGTTCCGCTCCATCCGCGCCAGCGCCGCCGCCGAGACGGACGGCCGTTCGCCCTCCACGCACGCCGCCGCGCCTTCATCCGGGCCGGGGGCCGCGCCCGCCATGGCGGCGGCGGAGCGGAGGAGCCGCGCCGGTCCCCCCCGCTCCAGAGCGCGGCTCGCCCTTCCCTCGCCGAGCCGCCGCCGCACTGCGCCTGCGCAGAGGAGGAGGCGGGGGAGGGAACGAAAGGGGCGAGGCCCGCGCGCATGCGCGCTGCCCTCGCCCCGCCTCGCCGCACAGCCGCCGCGCTGGGGGCGCCGGGAGGAGCGGGGGGGGGCGGGCGGCCCTCCCGGGGCGGGGGCTGCGGCCTGCGTGGCGCCGGGCGCGGGGGCACCGCCCGGCCCGAGGGGCTCCGGCGAGCGGGGGAGGGGAAAGCGCGGCCCGGCGATTTCCGCGAAGGCGTTTGAGCGCCTTGTGCGGCGGCAGCGGCGCCGGCGAAGCGACAGGGTTTAAAAAAAAAAAGAAAAAAAAAAAAGGGGGGGGGGGGGGGGAGAAAGAGAAAAAAACGAAAAAAAAAGGCCGCGAGGCGCAGCGCCGCCGGCGGTGACCCCTTTGTCCTCAGCCCGCCCGGCACCCCGCGTGCCCTGCCCCGAACCGCAGCCACCGCTTCGCCCCGTGCGTGTTTCAAAAGAACGGGAAAAAAAAAAAAAAAAAACCAAAAAAACCCAACGGCCACCACGTTTTCTTGTATCCTCAATAGGAAGCAGCACGTCCTTTTTGCCGAGCGGAGAAATCAGAAATAAAATTAACACTTTAACTTCCGCCCCGCGCCCGCCGCCCCGCACGCCTTCTGTCGCTCCCGCCGTCCTTGAGCGGGACGAGGACGCAGCCCGCCCGCCCCGCACGGCCGCCATTACCTTCACGTCCCGGCCCGACACGTGCGTTCGGCTCCGTCCCGCAGCCGGAATGCGGGAGACAGCCGCGGGACCGGCGCCGCTGCCGCGGACATTTTGTATCGGGACCTTCCCCTCTAAAATGAATCGCCGAGTCATCGCCGGCCGCCTGCGGCACACTGGCTTTTCTGCAGGACGCCGGAAAGTACCGCAATGGGCATGTCTCGGTGCCTCCCAGCCGGGATTCGATAAACTGAGCGCGCGTAAATCGCGGCGCTGCCCCGCAGGAAATGGCCCCGCCGTCAGCGGACGCTGGGGCTGCCCTGTTAGCAGGTATTCTGCAGGTACTCGGTTCAACTGACGGCCGGAAAGCGCCGTGCTGGCTCGGAGATTCGGAAATGGGAGCTCTTTGTTTGGAAAACAACCGCTCGTTTTGAGAACAATCGACCGCGTGTTTGAAAACAGTTCTGCCCGTGCGCGATCCGTGCGGGATTCTTATCTGTTAGTGCCTCCCGCGTTCCATCGGAGAGCCGGGAGAAACGAACTTTGGAGCGCTGCTCTTTGTGTCATCCCCAAGCTGAAGCTGCGTTTGGTACCAGTAAAGGGTTTTTGAGCATAGGAGGATATTGCTGTTATGCAACCAAATCGGCATTAGGATTAGAAGAATCTATAAACAAAAGCAAATTCAGAGGCGAGGCACTTAAACAGAATAGGCCGTGGTCCGCAAAGAGCCATGCAGCGCAGCTGGGGCTCGAGCAAGGGAATGGAGCAACACTCCGTGGGTTTTCCTTTTCCTCGGGATCACCCTGACCAAGCAATCTCAGCAGAATATCTTTCCCAGCTGTCCTTCCTACCAGAGCGTGTATCAAATACGGTCCTCCTGGTTCTCATGGTCAAAAGAAGGCAGTATGTACTCTATTGCTTATGCTCGTTAAATATGCATGCCCTAATGGCTGCGCGTTAGTTAATAACCATACAGTCATCGAATCCTTTAAGTTGGAAGAGACCTCTGAAGGGCATCTCACTTAGTCCAGCTCCCCTGCACTGAACAGGGACGCCCACAGCTCCATCAGTGCTCAGAGCCACATCCCCTGACCTTGGCTGTCTTCGGGGACGCGGCATCCACCACCTCTCTGGACAACCTGTGCCAGTGCCTCACTGCCCTTACTGTCAAAATTCCTTCCTCACATGCAATGTAAATCTCCCCTCTTTCAGTTTGGAACCATTTCCCCCCGTCCTGTCGCAGCAGGCTCTGCTACAGTCTGTCCCCTTCCTTCTTACAGCCACTCTGTACATACCGAGCACTTGCTCTCAGGACTCCTGGAGAACTCTCTTCTCCAGGCTGCACAGCCCCAGCTCTCTCAGCCTCTCTCAGCAGATGAGGCAACCACAGAACGTGGAATATCCCAAGATGGAAGGGACTCACAAAAATCGTTGTCTCCGACTCCTGGTGCCACACAGAACCACCCAGAAATCAAACCATACCAACCTCCAGGTTGAGCACACTTAGGTAGATCTTCAGGTGTGGTATGCCAGGCAGCTCATGGCTGCGATTACTTGGCTGCTGGTAGCCAGTCATGGGTGTCCTTGATCAGCAAGGGAAGGCCTGCATTAACTCATGGCCGTAGAATGGAGCATCAGCAAGCAGCCGAATGCGGGGAAGTGGCTTCACAAATGGCACTTGACAACTCAGCATTTTCTTGGAGGAGAGAAAGGGTGAGCAGTAAGACAGCAGTGCCTGCTGGCAACACAGCCGTTGTGGAGTTGGCATTGCAACCCTTGTCTGCTGGCAATACAACCCTTGTCAAGGACGAGGGTCATCTGTGGAGGGACTGTGGGTGTCTAGGCGGTAAAAAAAGAAGTAAATTTGGGGTACACAAATGATGCACTCGGGGAAACCTAGTCCTAACTGTACGTAAGTGGTGGTGGTGGTGTATCTGAAACTGTTGCTGCCTGTCAGGGGTGAGCATTTTGGTTCGCACAGACCGCATAGCTGCCATCTTCGTACTTGGAAAAACACAGCAAATTGTACAGAAAGAGACAGAGAACAAACCAGGAAGCACAATGATGCTCTGACTGTGAGCACTGCATCCAGTTGTGTTTCCTCCTCCTCAGAAAGGAATAGTGGAGGTGGGGAAGGAAACTGGAAAACAGTGAGAGTGCTGAGCTGCCCAGCACCTCCTCTCCCTAGAAGCAGTTTGGTATGTCTGGGCCCTGCACCCTGAAAATAAATTGCTCAGAAGGGATGTGCCTGAAGCCTGTCTCATCCCAAGGGCTCAAAGAGAACAGATTGGACTGAGTGTCCAAGGACGCGTGGTCTGATGTACGCTGGTAGGAAGCCACATGAGAAGGTCCCTCCTTGCATGGAGCCTTGGGAGCAGTGCACGCCACATCTCTGCTCTGTGCATGGTGCAGATGGAAGATGTTTCTCTGGGGCGTGGGCAAGATTGTCCAAGGAATGGGGAGAGGCCACGTAGTCGGTGAATGAACGCCCTCTGAAGACGCAGCAGTCCCCCTGCTCTGAAAATAGTTGGGGGCCGTGGGAGTGTTGCGGAGGAGGAAGCTCATACTTGCCTCATTTTTCATTTTCCCTCAGTGTTTGCCTGTGCCCGGTGGAGGAAACAGGACCGAGCAGATTTGGTATCCCGGTCAGTGTGCCTCTTCCTCCTATTCTCTGAGAATCACCCTCTGGTGTTATTTACTATCTGGAACCATGTGTGGTGGGATCTCTCAAACCAGCCTCCGTTCGTCTGTACTGGGAGTCACTTGCAGAGCAGCTGCTGCGCTGCGTATTTACATTTTCCCTCACCATGTATTTATTTCTGTGTCCACAAAGTATTAATAGCAATCCGCAAGTGGTTGCACATCTACAACAAAATCTTTTTTTTTTTTTTGTCCTTCAGTGAAAATATTTGCTCCACGACAAGCATCCACTGTCACCTCATTTTCCTTGGGTTGGTCCACTGAAGGGAGTGGCAATGCAGAAAAATCTCTCTCCTCTCCCTCTGATGGCTCAGGTGGCCGCATGAATTTCAGCTGCATTTGAGTTGTGCAGTCAGCAGCTGAGCGGCCAATACACATAGGCTGATTAAGTGGTTGGCTGCTTCCTCTTAGCATGACTAAGGAATTGGATTTTGCCCAATGATTTCAGACGTTTTTTATTGGAGAGGAGACATTTAGTGCATCCTTGGGGACGTGAGGCAAAAAATACCCTTTGAGATGAGAGCTTCCATTGGGTTTGAGGCACCTGTTTCTTAGCGCTACTCTAAATAAATAAACGGCAAAGCATTCCAACCTTCCTGGTGAAGAAGAAGCAGGCGACCTGGGGGAAGTGAAGGGAGCGCAGCTGCCTGGGTGCCCGGCTGCTCTGCTCAGCTCTGCCGTAGCGCCTGGCTCAGAGACCACTGAGTCATCCTGGTGCTCGGAGTGGGGCAGGCAGGGTAAACCGATCCCCATCTCTGCCACATTTCCTCACTTGTTCGCTAGCTGTAGGAGGGGATTTCCATAGTAATGCGACCTGTCTCCGTGCTCCATTAATCGCCTCCCAGTTGATGCAGATCGTCTTGGTCGAACTGATAGATAATGGAGGAGAAGTGTTGAGTGCTTGAGCGGCGCATCTGAAAGGAACAGGTAGGCAAGAATGGAAGTGCAAATGTTGAAAGACAAAACCCGGCATTCTTCCCTGACGGGATGTCTTCGTGCAAAGTTTACTGTCATTTTCTAGATGCAGAACGTGATAGGGTGAGAAATTGCGACCTAAATCTCTTATTGTTTTAGTGTTGTGCGTGACTTCTCTGTTACTTTTCCCGAACAGGACTCTGAATACCTTTAATACCAACAGCAATCGCTGACTTCACGTCCGTGAACACCAATATGTCAGTGACGAAAAATGCTGTTCTTTTCGTGTCAGAGGTCACCACGGAGCTGACCGCACACTTCTGTTGCCGCTTGGTAGTCCAGACAAAAAAAATGCTCCTTCGGGATTTTGCCAGGAAAATCCATCTTCCGTCCACACAAAAAGTGGGAAAATGGAACTGGGAAACGCAACCGCCTTTGATGCCATCTTCAATGCGAAGACTAACGAAAATAGCTAGAATGTAGGAAAGAATACTCTTTTTCCCCTCCCCCCCTGCCCCAGCCCCCCCAAACTGAGGCACCGGGACGTTTTTCTTACCTCACCCACGACCCATAGACAACGTCACAGAAATGGGTCTGAAGACAGCTCTTAACCGCCGTGAATTCTGTGAATTCCGGCTCGAGCAATAAAGTTAAAAGGGGAAAAAAAAAAAAAAAAAAAAGCAGCCATCAGGCTGGAATTCCTTAACAGCAGCACCCTGTTAATGACCCTTTTGTCCTTAAAGCACCACTCAGCCTTTGCTTTTACAACCCGGCTTGTTTTGTTCTGCGGGAATATTCACATATCACATGAAAAGGATGTGTGAACAGATGCATTTTTCCCCCCTATCAATATTCCTATTTTGTCAGTTACTTAATGCATGCAGGAACCTTTCCCATAGCAACACAGAAACCTTAAGAAACTTTGCCTAATTCTTTAATTACCTTTTTCTTTCTATTAAGAGGAGCTCGGGCATTTCTGAGACAGAAAATCAATACGTCATCTATTATATTAGTCTCAGGAACAGGAGATCTGGCCGTACTGACGGTGAAAGGCCGAGTGTTCTGGAATAAAGCGTGTCCTTCTGATCTTCCTCAAGTATTTAAGGAGATTGTGAATGTATTTATCAAGAAACCTGGGGCTTATGCTGTACATGATTCAAAGTATCATGCTCCTTTCCCCCCCCCCCCCCCCCCGCACTTTTGGCAATACCATAAAGAGATCGTTTCTGTGATTCCAAGTCAGCCTGAGTTGTTCTAACGTGCGCAGCGGCCGGAAGAGAAAGCCATACAATGGCAGATGAAGTTGGCTGCAGCAAGAAAATCACATCCCGGTTCCCAGCATTTCAGGAAGATGAGTCTCCTCCACTAGTTGCAAATCTCTGCAAAACGTTTTGGTGCTGCCGTGCACTGGTTTGATCTTGGTGGTTTCCCCCAGGACCCTGTTCTGCTCTTCAGGATGGATGATGCGACCTGGAACTGTGTCTGATTCAATGTGCTGAAGGAGGAGAGGAGGGGGATGCGGAGTCGATCCTCACAACTGG